TTTAAAAGAATTTTATTGCAATCCCTTTAACACTGCTGAACTCGTCCATATGAGCTTCCCTTTGGGATAATCGATGAAACAATTTTATACGGCTAGCGATAGACACATATAGGGCTCGAATGAATATTTTTGTCCATAAGTCAATACAGTGAAAGTGTCTCAAATTTATCCTGTTTTTTTTTTTCTCAACTGCTGTAACCGTAATCCAATTTAAGGTTAAAAAAATAATGAAATAGATTTTAAACAAGTTTGCATTCGATATCCCAATGCGGTAAACATCTACTAATATGAGAAAAAAAAAGGCTTCCTAACTGCTGTCACAATTATGTATGTATTATATAAATCTTTTAATTGGTTAATTTTGCACACAAGGTATTGCTTGTTAAACTCGTTGATTTGAAGAACTAATGCGAGGAAATCTTCATACAATGAACAGAAAATTATTATTTTGGTCAAGAACGTCTTTTGTGATGTTGATTTTAACGCGATAATAGAGATTAAGTTAAGAATTTCTAATTATCTTTAGACGTTTAGTTCCAACCCTAGAAAGCTATTTAAAGTGATTTTGTTGTAAATATTGGCTGAAGAACGAAGTGCAATATGCTGGTTGACTTGGCGACGTTAGATCTTTAGAAAGTTCTTAAGGCTAAAAAAAAAACTGTCAACTGACAAGCACAATAAGATGATGGATAGCCAGAACAAATTCGTTCCGCCTCCATAACGAAGTTTACAATTCAGAGTCCTTGAGGACAAAGTAAAGGTCGTAAATAAACTTATCGAGGTGAATAAGACATGAATAAGAGCAGATTAGGGCCACGAAGGGTAAATAAAGCGCCGTTAATTCTTCTTGGTATCAAACAAAAGCCTTAAATATTTGCGCAAATTTAAACGAGAAATAATTCATTATCATTACCATTATAAATGGAAGAGAAGCCTTTAGATCAGCAGCTCTTTGACGATCATCTACTTGAAGCTCTTACACTACAGCAAAAGCATTACTTGGATATCGTATCTGTCCTTGCAAAATAGTGGTTGACTGTAAGAAATAGTGGACAGGTTATAAAAAGATCCCGTTACATAACTCAATAGGCTCTGGCTACGTTTTATTACATTATAAAACGCTTTTTTTATGATCTCAAGAGTCTTAAATTTCTTTTATCCCGTGAGCATAAAGATTGTCAACAAAACAAAGACTCTTCATTTGTACTAATTCTACGAAAGGTTATGATGTCATTAATTCAAAAAACTGGTCAGGTGCAGAGGGCAAAAAAAAATGTCTTGAACAGCATGAGAAAACATATGTATAAGTGGTATCATCCTGTGAGAGAAAGATTCTTCGCACGAGTTCCTTGAAAGTACAATGATGGCTCTCTGGTGCTGCTTTCTAATGAAGTCCTGGGCAGATTTAAGGAAATTCGTGCCATTTTATTGGCATGCCGAACACCGTGGGAGGTCGTTTTTCGGCGTAAGCAATATTTTCTTATTTACTCCCGTGCCATACAATGACAACTTCAATAAGTTATTTTACAAGGAGCGGTAAATCAAACAAAAAGTGTCGCCGTCTCTGAAACCGAGTAGGTGACATCGGTGGCGTTGTTGTTTAAAAGATCATCCGGTGGGTGAGTGTAGTGAACCGAATGTTTCTTAAAAACAAATTGATGTTTAGTAACAAGTGACCTCAAAAGAGCCGAAGGTTATTATTAAGAAAAACAAGGCCTAGTTATTACATTCTCGTCTGCAAACTACTGCAGTGTATCTGTGATCGTTGTGGTGCACAGTTCCAGAGAACCTCGGACGTACCTCTCTATCACCACAAATGTTGAAGGAGTCATTTTCTTGTTCAACTTTTCAACAGAGAATGCGCATTTCAACGTATTCTGACGTTAAAGACTGGCGCAGTTGCAGTGCAGTGTGATTAAAGGCTCAAAAACAAAGCTAACTAGGAGGGGTCATTCAAAAATTTGGTTAGTTAAAATAAGGCACAATTACTTATTCAGAGAAAAGGTGTACAGGTTGGTGACGCGACAGGCAACAATAATACGGAAGAAGGGTTAATGAAAACTAGCAGTGGCACATGTTGGTTTTCAGTGTTCATATTTGGTCAGGGCTGGCGTTTACCATCATGTGCTATGGCTGGAGGGATTAAAGTGCTGCAAGAGCCTAATAAGATATATCGCCCGCGCAGTGAAAACATAGATATTTCATTATGTAACCTGGATCTCTATGCTATGATTACATCTCATATGTATTCCACCAGAGTTACAATTCTGCAGGTGCTATGTTCGCTTGTTACGCAACACTGACTGATTTATCAAAAGTTATAAATTACAAATTTTCTACCAAAGCATGAACAAATTAAAAACCTCCAAGATTTATTTATTAAATTTTTTGCCTGAAGGGATCATTATTTTGTAATGAATATCCTTTGTGGTTTAATGTCATCTAGACAACATTTTTCATTTGGACTTTTACCAAGAATTTAGTTCTGATTTATGCTGCAACTGAAGAGTCTTGCATGTTTAGTGTTAAAATAGTTGTAGAAGATTGCTAAGTGCAATATCTTGTTTTCTAACGTCGATTTTCATGCGCCTCTCAATTCTTGACTTATACGTGCTTATTTGCTGTTATAGAGCCGTTGGCTCCTTTCTTGAAAAATCATAACTTTATCACTTTGTTGCTGTAACTACAAAATATGTTTATGTCCGGTGAAATGTGTTGTGGCAAAGGTAATCAAATGTTCCAACCTGATGATTTATGATTTCTGGTATCCCCATCTTGCAGTGGAAAACATATTGATTTCGATGACTGATATAAAAGAAATCAGGCTGGTACAGCTTTAACCAGTGAGCACTCAACCTTGGAATAATTGAAATTAAATGAGCCGATTTTGTATAGAAATAAAACTGGATCATCACCTTCTCCTATTGCGAAACTACCAGCGCTAAATGTATGTGAGTTACTTTCATTTAGGTATGATGTGCGACCCTCGCAGTAGAGAGCGCTATTTATGCAATAGCGAAAATCAGACCCGAAAAAAATCAGGCCTGTACGGGATTCGAACCACTGACCTCTGCGATACTAGTGCAGCGCTCTCCCAATTGAGCTAACAACCCAGCTGGGAAAAGGCCGTTAAGTTGATTCGTAATAAACCCGTGATGATAAATCAGATACGATGAATATATGAGGTTCATATATTTTGAACTGCGGTTATAGATAGGTTCGAATCCCGTACAGGCCTGATTTTTTTCGGGTCTGATTTTCGCTATTGCATAAATAGCGCTCTCTACTGCGAGGATCGTACATCATACCTAGCTATAACCGCAGTTCAAAATATATGAACTTCATATATTCATCGTATCTTACTTTCATTTATACCTGAAGTTACGTTTTAAGTGCTTGGATATCTGATATTTCACACTAAAATGACGAAATGAGCTGTGACTGCGTAACAATTGCCTGTATTAGACGTAACATGTATGCTATTTCATGCCCTCGAGTTTCTAAAATTATTCCTTTATTTTGTGTGATTCGGAAATAAGACAAAATACTAAAGAAGTCTGTGTAACAATCGCAGGTTTCACATGGCAATAGCTGCTTTAAGTAAATGAAGTATAAAACGGTGGTAAGTTACCGGATTAATTGGAACCAAGATAAAATTTTAACAGCGTTGTGATCGTTGCCACGAAACAGGCCCGTGGATTGTCGCTAAAGGCATCTTACTCTGATTTGTAATGACCTACATCTTAATGGACTGAGCCATTTAATCTCATTAGAACAAAACGAATTCTGCTTCATCGTAGATTCTTTGATGAAAACTGTATTTCTATGATTTTTTCGTCCTCTTTAGGTTTCAGTGCTACTGTTTCTCAATGTCAATATTTGTACGTATAGATAAAATAACAAACATCAGTCTATCTCGCTGAAGCTTCTTTGCATTAATTATAAATTTCTCATACAAGGCTGTTATCAATAACAATCTATCTGAATTACATGTCTTTTCCTTTTCTATTAAAGGGTTTTGAATTGAACACCGATATAAGCAATGCTTTCTCAGTTAAATGATTTTAATCAATTCCACCAATGTTCCTAGCTTTGATTAAAGTCCAGCTGAAAATTGACATAAATTTATATTATCAAACCACACGGGATATAACTAGGCTTCAGTCTTAACGAATGAATCTTGGTATTAAAAGCGAAAGATATGAAAAAGTTGAATATGGGTGAAAGTCATACTCATTTTACAGCAATGATTAGTATGAAATACAACAGGAACTTTTCCTCTTTTATCAATGATTGCACTGGAGCATGTATTTACTTTCCCATTTTTACTCGCTATAAACTTTAAAACAGATAAAAGTCAACACTTCAAACTTACTTTCAGCATACTTTGCCGAACATTCCAGCGAATAAAATGATAACCACAACGACAGAAAACTGGTTCTGTGGCGTTTGCCAAAATGTACCCTTAGGTAAAAGATAAATCAAAATGCCAAGCTAGAATTTTAATTTTGGATTGCGAAAACCGCCCTTCAAATTAAATTTTAAAATGGCACCAATTTAACAGTGCTAGGGTTACAGTTGACTGATTATGCATTTCATTTGAGCCTTGTTTTCATCAAATAATCTTTTATAATTTCTCAACGAATTGTGACGCTAATAAAATTTGCCGCCTGACCTTAGTATCCCTTTGTCGTATTGGGATCAATCAATCATTCTATTAAAAAATGAAACAATACTGACAACCATTATATTATTGGCGAGTCTCGAACTCTTTGCTTATTCGTGTCCGCATGCACATTTTTTATTACAGAATATCTGAGTTCGGTTTGGCGAAGACTTCGACGGAAATTAGAGAGCCACTCCAAGATCTTTCGTCGACTGATCCAAAAACGTATGCTTAAGCCTTACACTGATGTTTCATGAATACCCGTTGGCTAAACAACTCAATTAGCTTTCAATAGACCCCCCTACAGCTCAGGAGAGATTGTATATTACGAAAAGGGAACTGGCTCATAAATGCGACTGGCCACACGGTGAGTCAAATCTTTAATAATCACATGACAAGCTATAATCTTTTTTTAAAGTTATATAGCTCTAGAATGACGTGGACACTGTCTTTGTCCTTTCTCCCTCCCAAGACTTGTACCTGCGATGTCGCTCATCAGTGATTGCAATAATTAGACGAATGAGTACTGGCTCCTAGCGTTCAGCTTGAATCTGACCACGTAGCAGTTCACCCTGAAGACTGAATTATGTATCATAAATGTTTGGCAAAAGCCTTTGTTGGCAGCTAGCTATCTATAAGACCAACAGAGCGTTCGTAAGAATACATTTATAAATACCCCTTTTGCTCTTGGGAGGCGTGATGGCCTCATGGTTAGTGCGCTCGACTCCGGATCCAATGATACATATAAATGCTGTGCCACGCAGCACTATGAACACAAATGGTGGAACAGAGAATTAACTCTGAAGTGTAAATTAAAGTGCTAAGTGAAACCCATGAAAAACCCACTGGGCGTTAGCCCTAGTAAAGGGTTTTAGGGAACCACACGAGGTAAAGAAAAAATTCTTACGACCTCGGCGGGAATCGAACCCAAGACCTCCGGATTAGATCTACCGTTGCTCTACCGACTAAGCTCCTGTGGTTACCTCGTGCATGTGATTCCCTGATACCCTTTACTAGGGCTAACGGCCAGTGGGTTTTTCATGGGTTTCACTTAGCACCTAAATTTACGTTTCAGAGTTAATTCTCTATTCCTCCATTTGTGTTCATAGTGCTACGCGGCACAACATTTATATGTACTCTTGATTTCTTTTCGCCGTGATTCACCACCTTAATCGACCCCGACTTTCTCTGTCCGACCTCGTAGCTTAGTCGGTAGAGCAACGGTAGGTCTCTGAAGGTCGTGGGTTCGATTCCCACCGAGGTCATAAGAAATTTTTCTTTACCTTGTGTAGTTCCCTGATACCCTTTACTAGGGCTAACGCCCAGTGGGTTTTTCATGGATTTCACTTAGCACTTTAATTTACGCTTCAGAGTTAATTCTCTGTTCCACAATCCGGATCCAATGGTCCTGCTTCGAGCCCTGGCTGGGGACATTGTGCTGTGTTCTTAGGCAACTGAGACACTTTACTCTCACAGTGCCTCTCTTTACCCAGGTGTTTAAATGGGTACCGGCAAATTTAATGCTGGGTGGTAGCCATGCGATGGACCAGCATCCCATCCAGGGGGGAATAGAAATACTCCTAGTCGCCTCATGCTACGGAAACCGGAGTTATAAAGCGTCAGTGGGATGGGTCGCTTGGCTTATATACGGACTTCACCTTTTACCTCTTGCTCTTATTACAAAAGGCAAAACCAGTTAAGTAATTATATAGAAATACGTATTTCCGACCGCATGTTTCCACAACGGTGTTGGTAAACTGGCTTATCAGATAAAGCACGCTTTTCTTTTTTTACCAGTGAATATTATTAGCATATTCGCTAGGTTCTGAGACGTAATCATTGGTGCTGCAATGAAAACTAGGGAGTTTTATCATGATCATGCCTATTGAATTGTGACAGATATCGTGTTACATAGGTACTGGCTGCATGCTTTAGGTTGTACCGAGTATAAGTAGATTTCTTGGGTTAAATCAAGTTCAGCTTGCCTTAAAATCTAGCAGTTGATCCTGGTTTGCTTTGTTCCGTTCTCAATATTTGGATTTGTTTTGATCGTGTTCAATCGGTAATATCTAAGCCTCACTGAATTCAGCGGTTTCTCTAAAGTAGATCACAGATTTTGTTTAGGTCATAAAAGTCTTGTTTACAAGTTGTGTGGTGTTACTTACTTCTTATTTTTATTCTAATTACTATTATTATCATTATTTTTATTGGACACTTTAATGCATTTCTCGATTTTCAAGTATTTTATCATTATTTTTGTTAATAATTGTAGTGATTATGTTGAATAAAGGACTAAAGGACTATTTTATAATCACTTTTAAATAATCACTTTATAGTGAACTATTTCTATCATTAGTTTTATAATTATATCCTTCGATGTTCATAGCTTGATATTCTATTTGAATTTTTAACATTAGTACTTCTTTATTGATAATATTATTATTTCATTTCGATTTCCAATTTCTATGAGTTTTTCTGTTTAATGTCTAAGATTATCATTATTATTGTTATTGTTATCTGCTCGTAATACAGTCATGTGCAATACATCAGTGACATAATTCATCTTTGCTATCATGTAACCTTTGGCAAAAACTGATTTACTCTGATGAAGAGATATTGCCGTTTATCTGGTTTTCTATTATAATTAAATAAATAAAGAGATAATAATAGTAATAATTTTTTAAAAATCGAGTTTCCAGATGGGATTTCAACTCACGACCCTCCGTGATCTAGTCGGATTAGTAATAATAATAATAATAATAATAATAATAATAATAATAGCCGGAACACAGACTACGCCTTGGCGCCCTGTGTTCCTCTTAACTGTATGGCATACAGATAGTTTTTACTGCTGATAATAATAATAAGTAATAAATAATAATTTAGGAATAGACATTCCACTGGGTGACTCTTCTTGTCCACTGTTTCTAGATTGAATTGGAATTTGAACTGTTGGTTTTTGCGGAGGGGGAAAACCGGAGGACCCTGAGAAAAACCCTTGGAGCAAGGACGGGAACCAACAACAAACTCAACCCACATGTGACGCCAGGTCCGGGAGTCGAACCCGGGCCCCAGTGGTGGGAGGGGAGTGCTCTCACCACTACGCCATCCCTGCTGCCTAGGGACTCGATTACCCATTATACTTGAGTTTTCTAAATGTCTAGAAACGTAACTTCTTAGTAATGTCTAGGTTTTGATGACATACTCTTCGTTGCACAGGTTGCTACTCTAAAAATTTCAAGGGACCATTTTCAAGGACTGAAAAATTCTGAAGCCAACAATGAATGCTAGCCAAATAAACTCAATACTGGAAGGAAATTCAAGCCAGAATGACATTGCTACACCTCTTTACAATTTTGTGCCTGAGCCTCAATCTTCAAGGACGATTCGATACATCATATACTGCATGGTTTTTATTTTTGCCATTGTCGGGAATACTACCGTGTGCATCATTCCTTTTCGCCACAGACGCATGCGCACGTGCACCTACTTTTTGATCACAAACTTGGCTGTCTCTGACATTGGAACAATGCTGTGTTTGCCCTACATACTTATCATGGAATGGCAAGAGGAGTGGAGTATGGGATCAGTTATGTGTAAACTTGTCAACCCCAGCCTTACCATGTTCTATCTAGTCACCACTAACACTTTGGTCGCAATTGCAGTTCACCGCTTTTTTGTGGTAGTTTTTCCGTTTAAATCCAAACCTGGAAAGAGTAGAGTAGCTCTGATCATCTTACTTATATGGCTGGTAGCGTTTCTCTGCGTGTTACCATCATTTGGAGCTAGACAACTTGTAGCCGAAGGAGTGAAGGAAAATGGTAAAACAAGTTATAGGTGCGACGAAATATTCCCTGGGAAGACGAGAGAGGATCAGGTGTACTTCAGAAATATGTACACCATATTCCAATACGTCATCAATATCTTCTTGCCCATTGTGATCATAGCTATCCTGTACATTGTAATTGCTTACAAACTTCGACAAATGTCATTAGCACTTGGATTACGAAAGGACAGAAGGGGTAGCCAAAGCTCTACATCATATCACAGTGTGACCTCAAGAAAGAAGAGCATAGACGATATTTCTTTACGAAAAAGAAACGATCTTGAGAAAAAGTTCTTGCGGATGCTCGCCGTTGTTGTTATTGTTTTCATTCTTTGTTAGGTGCCCTACACCACTTTCTACCTTGTGGTGTCAAACTATTCGATGGCAATGACCTGGAAGTATATAGGAATCCTCTACCACTACATCTATCTGCTTATGTGGCTTCCAAATGCTTTAAATCCGATATGTTATGGTGCTTTGGATGACCATTATGCCTCTATAATTAAGTCTCTTTGTTGTGTAAGGAGTCGAGCTCAACGATTAGCCAGCCGCCTTGCAAGCAATGGGGTCAACTCCTTAGGGGGACGGTCCAACAGACCAGGAAATTTGTTCAGTCGTTGCAATCAAACTTTGCCCCCTATTATGGAGAAATCAAGAACACAAACCTACAGTCGAACTGTTGAAAGACATAAAAAAGCAGGTAATGGGAAAAATTGGAAAACGTGTTGCAGCTAGTGGACATAGCAGAACATATGTATCAAAAGAAGACGGTATTCTCATCTTAAGAAAACGAATTGTTTTTTAATTAAGTGGTCACGGCACTGAAATTGTCATTACTTTCTGTAGATCTAGAGATCAAGTTCAACATTCAGAGCTGTCACAGGCATCATTAGTAGAAAGTATCCCTTGGCAGTGGTAAAAGTACTGATAAACTCGTGGCCCTCGCTGAATAATCTCTGTCTAATGATCAAATTGAAACATAGCAGGATTAGTAACCTCAACTGGTACTAAAGGCAAACCAACAAACTATTTACAAGCATGGTTGAGGACTTTAAACCCCGGCTAGGACTGTTACTGATTAAGTGTCGTAAAACCAAAACCAGTAGAAAGAAACAAAATATCGCAACGAGCAAATAAACTGAATTCAAACAAAAAGCATTGCCCAAAGCGCGGGAAAACGCGATTGATCGAGATGGATTGGTGATTACTACCGTTAATAGCTTCATTAGAGCACCGTTAGGATAAAAATGTTTCACCCTGAAACATGCACGGTAGATTCTGTTACATCGGACAAGTTTGATCAGAGGAAAAAAGGAAACAATCGTTTCGGAAATCATTACATCACATGTCAGTTCTGGGCTAGAAAGCTTGATCTTTTCGTTATATGAGACAGATGGATAAAACTTAGTTCTACGGCAAAACATTTTGGAAAAGGAAAGTGTTCGATAAAGTGCCGCAAGCTCAAATCTTTTGGGAAATTTTAAGTAGTTGGTGTTAAGTTTAGAGAACACTGAACGTGGCTTGGAAGAGCTCATTGCATGAAATTGCTTGGGCCTGCGTTTTTGTCCCACTTCACGCGAATCGGATAGGCTAGGTTAAAAGGTGCACGAGTCAGAACAAATCGGTTGTGGAGTTCTTTGATCATAATAGAAGCCGCGAGATTTATCTTTGATTATTATTAATATGTAACACTGATGTGCATGATATGTTCGTGGATGTAAAAAGATGTTTGTATGTATCAACATACTTGATATAACTTTTTGTAATGGCTACGGAGAAAAAAGGAGAATATTAACCATCTGAACAAGAGTTACATCAAATAAACAAATAGCCCAGTTCCGAATAACCCTTGGCCTCATTTTCAAAACGAGTCCTGGTACTCACCTTTAATATGATAATAAGTTTTCATTCACATGCAAATTAAACTCATTTTCACTAGAATAAAGGCTGATAGTTTCGAAAGAAACTGTTTGGGGCTGCGTCGGTGGGAGTAACGAAATTATTTGGATATATCAACAAAGTTGAAGTGGTAAATTGGCCACCGTAACGACAAAAGCTTGTAATCGTTACGGTGGCCAATTTACCACTTCAACTTTGTACATATATCTAAATTATTTCATTTTCACTAGAATGGTTGAGCAACAGGCCTCGTTTTGAGAAAGAGGCCAAGGGTAATTCGCACGTTTACTGCTGTACCGAACTGAGAGATGATGATGTGTTAAGTCATAAAATTAAATAGAAATTCATTCCTGGTCAAGAGCAAATTAATAAAAAATATTGAATCACGTTCTTGTGAAAATCAAACTTTTTTCGATTTCATCCACTGACGTGCGTTTCCTACTTCACCCCCGACAATACTGCGCATGCGTCAGGAACTGACGAAGGGAATTCAAGGATGAGTTATAAAGGCGTTTCACTGAAGTTTTTTCAATAATTTCTACAGTTGTCCTGGTGATGATTCTGTACCAGACATGTAATAAAGCAAGTTTTATTTTCGTCCCGCAACGAAGAAGACCTCCATAATGGCTTTCTGTCATGATCATACATTCATCTCCCCCTCCGCTGTGAAATTTGATGAACCGCGGGGAATCTAGCCGTGGCGTCCCCCTCTCCTCCTCTCTTGGAAAAAAAGAATAATAATAATAATAATAATAAAAAATTGTCATCATTGATGTAAATAAATTGAAATAGATTGCAAGCCGAAATTCAGTCTAGATGAAAAAACATAAAAATTAAATGGCTTCGACATAATGACGCGTCTGATGTCGTCAACACAGATCAGAGTTCTGATTGATCGTAGATGAGGCAGGAAAACAAAATAAATTATTAACTTTGTAGATTTTCATGAAACAAGTAGGCTAGTTCTTGAGAGCTTTCAGTGAGATTTTTTTTAACTTAGCTACAAGTATATTTTCTCTAACGAGACCAGTTTCAGCTAACTGAATGAGAAATTAAAGTGATTGTAATTTGAGAAAACGGAAAGCGGAAACACTTTGAAGAAACACTTTATATCTGAATAGCAATTAATCCAGTTGATGTATCTGCTCAATTAGCCAAAGTCGCCTTCTGGGCTACGACGTATCTATGAGATGCTCTGTGAAGACGTATATCTCAACACTGACATGTGATAACGCAGCAAGGCCATGATTCTAGGGCTTTTAAAATCGTTCACCGTTTCAGTTTCAGAGAAAGCTACAGACAACAGGGTGGTGGCCAGGATTTGCCGATTCTAGCTTCGATCACGCGCTAGCTTCGATCACGCGCTAGCGGAGGTAAGGCTTCCCCTACGTTCACACTGTATTCCATCAATGAGGAAAGAAGTTTTACTTTTTTTAGCTTTATTTAAGCCGATGTCCGATAATTTCAAATTTTGGGCTGATATGTTCGACTTGGAGTCGATACTTCAAGTCTTTGTTGTTAGTATTATGCAAAAGTTGATTAATGTAAATTTCGGGTTTACTGAAATGTTTCACCAATAAAAATAAAATAGATCCTGGATGCGTCACTTGAGGCTTTTACCAACCCGAGGCTCTACGGACTGATTTTTCAGTTTTTTTTTTNAGCGTTAGAAACACTTACGAGAATTGTTGATTTGTTGAAAGACGGATGAAACTGTGCATTACTACTTAGGCTCTCTTCCCATTCACAAGGTTTCTAGGTGACCAGCCTGTTGCATCAGATAGTGGCGGAGGAATGAAAAAACAAGGGAGGTGAGGGTGGTTTCTTGACGTGACCCAACCCAGACTTCCCTCGTCCTTCGTTCTGCTGCGACCATCGCGCCGTTCATAATTAACACGGATTTCGTAGTTTTTTACACTGTGAGCGTCAGGAACGGATGACTAGGTTACAAGGCTCTCGATCACCTCGCAGTCACGCATGGTCAATCGAAACCCATGTCAAAGATACCATGTCGTAAAATCTATCAGCTTCCAGATAATACTTAGAAGCCCCCCGACATAGACTAGAGGTACCTTTGCCATTCTACTAAGCTTTTGAGATAAACAGTCTCATATGTTACACGCTCACTCCTTGACGACAATCATATCAGAGTGCATCATTTCTAACTCAATTCTGTCGCGCTAATCGATAGCTTGGGGTAAAAAATACATATCCTAGCGCCCACGAGAAGTCTTTGAAACAAAGTGCACGCTCGCCTCAATTCCCAAGGCAACTGTTTTAAAAAGGCGGGCGATATCGAGAAACTCTTCCGTCGTTTCCTCGTTTGCGGTGTCCTATCTCCTGAAAATTCCTCAGTGACAAGGAGGATGACACAGGCTATACCGCTCGCTGTTTGGGTTTTTAAAAATGACTGTACTCATGTGTAAATCTTTGAGAAGTAACTTGACGTATTCAAATAAAGAAGAGAGGATTTACCATACAGGCCTAGATTTTTTTCTGCTTTCTTTTCTTCTGTATGTCTTTTTTTTCGATGGCATTGCCCTAAATGTCTATTTTGCACTATAATGTAAATGAAAATGGTTGAGTTTTAAGTCGGAAGATTAAGGAGCTTAAGAAAATTCGTCGATGAAACAGTCATTCGTTTCTGTTTGTATGGTTTGTCTTCAAACTTTTGTTTCATCCCTTCATATTCCCTTCCTGCACACCTGCGGACGGAATTTACCCACTATTGGCAGTTCTTTATTAATCTGTTGTCTTTCTCTTTTTCTTTCTTTCCTCTTTTTCTTTTTTTATCGCAAATATGTCTTAGCTATGTCAAGTGCAGTTTGATGTGTTAGATAATCTGCTTACACCATGATTTGTGTCCTTGTCAATGTCTTTTGCAACTGAATTACTGACGTGGGTGTTACTGTAATCGTTCGGGGGTGGGTTAGGGAGTCAAAACGACTATATACAATTAGCATCTGCTAAATGGTTAACCTGGACTAGGTAACGCGTTTTTCTATTTATCATCCCGAATCATTTTGTTTCCATTTATGAGTACTTTTAACACGCGCAAGTTGTCATGGCCGGCAAAAATTTCACCTAAAATAACGGCCACGAACCCCTCTCGATATGTTTCATTATCAGTAAGTACTTAAAACGCTGACTTATGAACATAAGTGCGTGTATAAGTGGTGCATTAGTACAACGCAGTGTAGACATTGAGACAAAAAAGATTGATAGACACAAAGGGTATTACACATGGGTAGCTGTTTAGACCCGTGTATTGTGAAATATTTTTAACGTGGAGAATATGGTGAAGTGTTTTAATTCCAAATAACCACAGCAGGGTTTTCTTATTGCATTTATTGGCTAAGGCAGTGAGGCATTTATGAAAGAGAGGGACATAGAGTTGGCTGGTAGACGTAAATTTGGGAGTCGCTGCGATGGATAAAGTCAAGATTAAGGTGAGCTGTAGATTTTTCTGGTAAAATGGTTCCTTCACAATGCATTGAGCGATTAAAAAAAATACTGTGGAAAAAAAGAAAAAAATTGTTTCTTATCATGAAGCCGAGTGAATTTATTGGAGGGCTTTTAGCGGGTGACTTCAATCGATCGATCTCAAGAGACTTGTATATTGGTGGCATGAAATGTAATGAAACAAATGCTGATGAAAAATGAGTTTAAAAAATCGTTTGATTTTTAATCTGATGAGTCTTATATCTCCTGATGCTATCAATAATTTTTGTCCCAGCTGGGGTTAAAAAAGAGTTTATGTAAATTACTGTGAAGAAAAATGGCAAAAGGCTTTTCGCCGTAATAAGAGAATTTGTTATCATGTATGTCCGAAATTATAATATGCCAAGAACTTTACAACAGATGCATTGTCAGAAGGAGGCAAACCTTCACTTATTAAACTTCGATATTCTAGAGAAATAGATAAACAAAGATATTTCATTGTGGTTTTTGTAAGAACCCTTTAAACGCTGCAACTGTTATTTTCATTTCATCAGTCAGAAGCGTACGAGTTAAAGGTTGTTTCGAAGGTACTTAACCACGTTTATACCGGAAAAATACAGGAGACTGAACGTTAAAATTTTCCGCGCTGGGCTATAAAATGTGTGAGCTGTCAAATTTTGATTTTGAATCCACTGATCCGGCTGAACATCATGACCAGGTGATCAAATACACGCGTAGTTTTTGTGGTTAGATAAGAGATTATTGTATCGTGCAAGACGGTCCTAGTTTTCCGAGAAGTGTATTCAAGTGAACGCATGACAGAAGCAATCCTCTATCACCTAGACATTTTTACAGGGAGATGGAGATGTTAATGGAAGAATCAATCATTATGCTGTAATGGCCTAACCTGCTTTGCTTTAGTTCAATTGAAATGCGGAGAATGCTTTGGCCGGCAAATCTTTTTTAATTTTTATATATATTTCTGTTCTGCGTGTTTGTATTTGCGGGAATTTGTGTCTCTCTGAAGAATGTAACAAAATAATATCGTTAGAAACGGAGAAAATTAAAGAAAAATTGAGTCGAAATTTTGCCAATCACAACTGTGAACGAATTAAATTTCAATAAAGGTATGTTTTTAATTTCGTACTTCACACTACTTTATGAATGTGATCGACCATCGGTTGACAGTCTAATTTACTTGCCTCGAAGTGGTTGTTGGCCTTAAAAGGGCGCTTATTGAAAAAAATGAATAGCAGTTTACTGTAGGCGTCTATTATAGGCATCAAAAGAAGGAAATTGAAAAAAATATATCATGAATTTATCGTAAGCCCTTTGAACGTTTTTGTAAATGAAGAGGGAAAATGGAACCATAAACTTCTTTCACCGGCAAGCGACAGAAAAATTTAGCGCGAATTCTTGCAACCAATCACATGCGGGCACTCGCGACCTGTTCGCCATATTTGGAGTAGTCGAGCTGTTGTGTTTTGAAAGTTTGATTTGCATAGACAGGAGCTGTGATCCGGTTTGTGGAGCTCAGAAACGATGAGACGCACTAAATCGACCCGAAATTTACCGTGGGCCGAGAATGGTTCTTGTGTTCTTTCATATGCTAGTTCCAGCTGTGTTGTCGCTGGTAAACATGTTTAAAAAAGTACGCGAAGGCGATCGAGGCGAGGCGACGCGATGCACCATGCATTTGACAGCAGCCGCTCAGGTAAGAGTGGAGCTCGTGATTAACAAATGCAAAGTAGCTTTAGCTAGGAACTTTATTTTAACACTCCAGCTTTTAAGGTTGTCATCGTGTCAGTATTTTTGGAACACGGAGAATTTTATACACGCAAATTGTATTTCAAACTGCGAATTTAAAACGCATTCTGCACGAACGATCTACCGCAGTGATACCGCCAGAAAAATAAATGTCAGTTTACCATTTTTTCTGGATGAATGCCTTTTGTTTCAACGCTGTATCTCTTCCTGTGTGATTTGAGGAACTATGTATTGCCAGCGACTGATATTCTTAGTGAAGCCCTTTGTTTTTTTTTTATCTTATTTTTAGGATGTTCTTTCTTGCCTGACTTTAGCGATCGACATGAAGTCGTTGAAAGAAAGCGCTGAAAGAGCCCTCCATCTGCTTCTACCGCGAGTGGTAAGCTTAAGTTAATAACGTGCGCTACGCTCCCCACCCGCAATTCTAGTTTGTTTACGTTTGTGGAAACCAACTATAGTTGCGGATTCATTATTTTTTTTCTCTTTATCATAATATACGCATTTTTTATTCAGTTCACATTTTGCAAAATTGAACCAAAACATCTCCCCCTGTCTTTCTAATTTTCCATTTGAATTGCGGCGGCAGCTTCTATTAGTTGTCATCACAAAAGTTATTGCCTGACTTGTCGGCGAAATGAACCTCACCGATGAGAGCTTTCTTTTTTTGAAAAAATTTTTCCCATCTTTGCAGTCATTCGTGACCCGGCGAAATTTGAAGCAACGGAAGACGAAACTCACTCATACTGTGAAATTTGTAAACCGGGGACACTTCACAACAATGCAAGCCGTCAATGTCTGCGTCAAACCGCTATCGCTTCAGTAAAACACATGAGTTTCTGCACGCCAAACGTTTAATTTAGGTAACCTTCTATTGTATCCAAGTTTACGCCCCAAGGATTGCCGCAGAATTGCATTATTTTTAACTTTAGTTAAGCCAACTAAACGTTACCACAATCTCCATTGTCCCACGATTTCGAACTTTGCAACAACCGCATTTCTTGCAAGGTAATTTGAGATGATAGTATTTATATTCGTAAGCGAGGTTGTACACGCAAAACTTTTATTTACAACTGAAGGCGACGAAACAGCTTTCACTCAAATTTTCAAGTTTTGTTGGCCGTCGTTCAATTTTATATTTGCATTTTTGATGGCTTGAAGTCGATTAGGTGAATCACTTTTAAAAGCACTTAATGTAAATGTTTTCACTACGTCGAGTACGTCAAATTTTGGTGCAAAGCAGAAAGCACGCAGCCCGAAAACCTTAAAATCGACATGTAAAAGCGAAAGAATCGATACACCTACTCAGCTTTAGTACTAAATTTTGGTTGCGGATGGAAGAAGTTCTCAAACTTCGCAGTTTTCTGTCACAAAGAACAGACAGATCGCCCTGATCGGCGCCCAATATTGGTTCGTCGCACTGTTGTGATTTTCGAAATAGCTCTGCTAAACGCGATAAAAGGCTATCTGCCCAATTACGACCAAAACATGCCATGTAGTTTCCGTTAAGCTTACGGATTTCAGTGTCGGCAAACTCTTTTGTCCCTAAATATATTTATTTGAGCTCAGAAGTAGTTTTCCAGTTCAGAACACACGCCGCTCAACACAAAATAACAGTGGTCGCGCGCCGAGATGGATTAGGCGACTTTATTCATTTTTGTGTGCGATAGCAATTTGGCAAATCAGTACAATTGAAAGTGCTTGCGAAAAAGGATTAAAGACTTGTAAAATAAAAAGAAGTCTTTGTCATCTTTGCTAATTGCCATTTGCTACAAAAATCGCCAATATCTTTGATTTTTCGTCAGGGCTTTCCACAGTTAATTATTGATGTCAATGTAAGTGACAATAATTACTCTTAAGGGTACGTTTCAATTATTCCAAAACTATGCAAAAAATTGTGAAAAAAAAAAAACAACTAAAGTGCTAGGTTTTTGTCTCGTTCTTGATTTCAGATTTCGTCTCAAGTGACACCCAGAAAACAAAATCTTCAAGAAGCTTACTTCCTTCTTGTAGTTTTTTTATACTAGTTTCTGTAGAGAAATTAGATTTAATTTAATTTACTCCATTTTCACTGCATTATTTGCAGTGGGGAAAGGACTAGAAAGGAACATACGAACCATTCGTGCTAGTCCACCCTCCCACCCATCCCACCCCAGGGAAGGACATCCATCAAACAGTAATCTTGTGTGTGGGAAATTTACATCTC